CCCCCCACCTAAGGTGACAAATACGGACTTTAAAAAGTGAAGTTTAATAACATCCACACTGGTGAGGGTGGGCGTGCCCTGCGCTTACCCAAAGCATGATGTCGTGCTGTTGAAATGTCTCTTGTCTGGGAGGGGTCTGTGGGTCAGGGTCGTGAGGAGGAGGAAAGAAATTAATGAGATGCGTGAAMTTTTATTTAAGATTTAAGTTTTTTTTTCTTTCAATGGTCCTTCTGGCTCAGCAGCAGAAGCATAAATATTACTGTTAAGAAAGCTGATGATGAAGCTGAATAATAATCTAAGTCTGATGAAGGTAAATTAAATCTCTGACAGTTATCAATACACAGTGTGGCTCTAATTCCTCACTTCACCATCTGTGTCACAGCTTCACGTCTCCAAAATGAGGGTATGCATGGGTCAGAGCTGGCGTGAGGCACCGCACATTTTCACGTCAAGTTTGGATTTTATAAATCACAACCTTTGCRTGATAAGTGGTATACGCAAGTTTCTGGGCTCATATTGTACGTACGCAAGTTTTATAAATCCGACCCCTGAGCTCATAGAAAGAATCAACTAGTGTAAATCTAGACAGACGAAATAACCAGAAGCACTCAGAGAGAGAGAGCAGACTAAGGTCCAGGTTATACAGACACAGCACAGGGGCCAGATCATCTGAAATCCCACAATTCTTCAGGCCAAATCAATGTTGACCCTGTTTCTGCCTCCTGAACCCACAGCCTTCTTTGCCTGGTTTTTATTGGTTTAGTTTTATTGGTCTTGACCCTTGCCTTGCCTGACTTAACTCCTCTCTGCCTGACAGACTCTGTGCCTATGAGTGGATGCCACGTTAATCTGGACTGTCTCTTTGACAACGCTCCAAGATCTCCTTTGGGGTTTTCCCCTTCACCCCTGGAGGAACCCCTAACAGGCTGGTCCTTCCTGATCTCATTGAGCCTGTGTAAAAGTATCATTATCAGCTACTGCTTCCCGAGCTCGCTGGCAGAAGGGAATAGATCTCGGAGAAGTTGTACGCTCGGTGAGGTGAGGACGACCGAAGAATTCAGATGATTGGAATTAACCTTTAAGAGGCTCTAGTGAGACTTTAAGGTGGACAATAATCAACAGTGTCAGCCTTGAAAGCTGGATATCTCAAACTAGAAAACAGTAAATCTTGTAAAGACAGTTACAGTGCACGGAGGAGACAGCGTGGAGACACAGGCAGCTCTCCCTGTCTGTGTTGGACAGGAGGGAGTATGCCTCAGCCAGGCAGGGTAGGGACACATTTCCTACATTTGGTCTGTGTGCATGGTCTGTGTAAAACTGTTGAGGTCTGTTTATGAATTGTCTCAGTTTGTTCAATGAAAACGTCTGCTTGTGGTAAGAGACGCAAACATCTGTAGGGACAGAAGAGTGAAACCTTCRAGAAGAAGTCTTCAGAGAATGAATCCATGTTTAGACCCACTGTGGAGTGGGGACAGGACATGGTCTTCAAACTTCTTAACGAATAATTTAAAAATCACAAATAAGTACGACTCAAACCAAGAGTGTATCATGCTAGAGAGGCTCAACTCAAACACTACGCTGTCAGATCCTACACACCTTCATTTATACACACTTTTAACACACACAAACACAAAAACATACCTGCATTCATACCAATCCAAATCTCACACCACCTCCATGACTAAGACCTGACAAATGACTCCGTTAAAGACATTAAAGAAATGACTCCGTTAAAGACATTAAAGCTTACACATGCAATATAACCAGGTCTCACAGGTGTGTTAGATGTTGGAGTACATGTTGAACATGACTCTCAGCTACTAYCACACCACATGTAGCTCATTAGCTGTAAAACCCACACACATGGKCCAAACCCCTTTCTCATTACTTTAGCCTTTCTGTGGGTGATGAAAAAAACTACTTCTCATGTTACTATGATATAGACACAAAAAGCATGGCACTTCCTCAAACAAGCTTTCTTTCATAAAGGTTTGAAACACTTCTTGTCTGCAAGGTCAAACAGCTGCTTTGGGCAACAAATAATTGTCTTCTGTGTGATGATTTAATAATGAAAGCATACCTGTTTCTCAAGTTAGTCCAGATTAAACCCATCAGTGGCAGATTAACCAACAGAGCAAAAAGGAATGTCATTTGTTAAACAACCAGCTTTAACACAACAGTGTGGTAAAACACAAAAACCTGAGAAGTTTGTTATTTCCCAGCTGGGGTCCAACTCTTAGCTGCTCTACACAACATACAGTATGGTCCTTTCCACAGCTGAATATAAGCTGTTCTCCCACACTGCTACTCTGATTATCAGATTATCTATCTATCTATCTATCTATCTATCTATCTATCTATCTATCTATCTATCTATCTATCTATCTATCTATCTATCTATCTATCTATCTA